GGGTGGATGGAGGAGGGTTATCCCAATCAACTATTTCGAATCACTTGAAAACGAGAAAGTGTAGCAAAGATGGTGGTGATGAGTCGGGTACTTGCGTGGTGTGCCAAGACAGGCTGTACGAGGTTGACACCGTCATCGGAATTTTGGATTGCGGACATGAATATCACCAGGGATGCATCAAAGAATGGCTTCGATCTAAGAATGTTTGCCCTCTTTGTAAAGTTGTTGGATTAGCCGTATATGATATGACGTGATCTGTTAGAAATTTTGGGGAAAAAGAATTTATCGAGTACGTGTATGGTCAAAGATCAAAGGGTTTGTTCCTCTTAAGTTTAATTCTTATACTCTCTCGTCCTACATAATTTGTCTCTATTTTTTACTTTTGTCTGTTCCACATAATTTTTCTTTATTTTCTATTTTTGTCAGTTCCACGTAACTTATTATTTTGTTTTTTGAAAATATAATTATACATTTCTTACATTTTAAATTTTATATTTTATAATTTTTTTAATCTTAAACTATTGAGTTATATTAATTTTACTCTATAATTATTTTTAATATAATAATTATTTTTACTAATAATTTTTTAATTACTTACTAATCATACTTTACCTAAATTTTCGTGTCCCAAATTATTCGGGACGGAGGGAGTATTTTTTTTTTTTTCAACTTACTATATCAAATCTTATTGTAATAAAAAAATTTATATTTTCAAACCCACTCTAAACTGAAACGAAAGTGTTATAAAAAATATTCGATACACTTCTGAAATAATATTTAAAAAATACAATATTCATATAAGAATTAACTGAATTTAAAGCCAACAATACAGAGATAACAGACCAACCCTCCCTATTATAAATATCATTTCAATTATATTTATTAACATATATAATCATATATTATTTAAATAATATTTTTTATAACGATTCTTTATAAATACTTTACATTATTATTTTTATTAATTAATTACTTATCAAATATGATTATTCCAAAAAAAATTATATATTAATTTATTAATTATATTTTTGACATAATTACAATGAAATTTAAGTTCAATTAAGTTATATGATGCACATTTATTTAGATGTCAAAATTTGAACTTAACTCATATAAATGAATTCTTTTAACTTAAAATATTTTAGATTTGAATTTGAGTATTTTGGATTTTTTAAAAGAATTGAGTAGACCTGAATTCAAAATGAAAAGTATTGTATTTGGATCAAGTCGGATTTCAAATTAATTTATTAAAATATAAAAATTAAATCATCGGATAATGTGAAACCAAAAATTTACGAGACTTAGACTTGATTTTACAATTACAATTAAATTGTACTTCGTTCATCTAAAATTATGTTCTTTTTTGTCATTAAAAAAATTATTTTTATATCCCTTTTTAAATAACAAATTAGATTTATATTTGTATTTTATACTATAAAATTAAAAATATCAATTATTACCCATCCGCTAACTTGTGTCCAAGAGTAAGATTATATTTTTGGATCCCGGGTAGGGATGGGAGTAGGCCGGGCCGCCTGTCAGGGGCCTACGGCCTGGCCTGATTTATTTGCTAGAAAGATAAGGTTAAAAAAAAATTTAAAACTTTTTTATTTAAATAGAATATGTATAGGCTTAAAAAAATAAAAGAAAAATCTTTTTAATTAATATGACTTACTTAATATTATTATTTTTTTATAAAAATATTTTTTATAATTATATATTAAAAATAACTTTCTATCTAATAATAATATTTATTAAATAATTTTAATTATAAATTTATTATAAAAAATAGAATTTTTTAATTTTTGTATATATTAAATAATTGTTTATACTTTATTTATTTTTTATTTCTAACTAAATTTGCAGATAAATAAATAAATAAAAATATCATGTAGTTTTTTAAATAGACTTGTAGGTCAGGTCACGCTTTTAAAAAAATCAGACTCGGGCTTTTAAAAAAATATTTTCAGGCTTATTAGGCCATCCACAACACAGAAACCCATCCAGGGTTTCTTTCCATTCTCTCTCCTGTGCCACGTTAGTTTCTCTCTCCGCCACGTCACGAAGAACTCCAACTATATTTTACATTCATATCAAAGAACCCTTTAAAATCTTTACTTTTTCCACCTCATTAAATATTTTATCTATTTATAAAATAAACTTATATTTTTTCATTATATTTTATTCTTATAATATTTAATTAAAATAAAATAATTATTTAGCATAAATAAATAAAATAAATAAAAATAATAATTCCACATCCACATACTAATTAAAAATTCAAACTTAAATTTAATAAAAAATACATAATATTACAATATATTTTTCAAATAAATTCAAACAAATTATTATAAATATAAATAAAAAAGTATATATTATAAATATTATTTTTAATATTTATTGAATAAAAAAGTGGACATGGCCCACAAAAATTGGAAGAAACGGTACACTCGCAATGTACCGTTCCTTATGTTAATTGGTGTTTTAATTTTTTTTTATTTAATAAATGATGACGTGGGAGGCGCTTCTCAACAAGCGTCTCCCGTTGTGGATGCCCTTAGGCCAGATATTTTTAAAACAGGCCAGACCTATTTAGCCAAAGTCTGCCCTGGTCCGGCCTATTTCCATCCCTAATCCCGGGTTGAGTACTAATAAATAAAACATATTTAAAAAATATTTAGGGTTTGTTTATTTGGTATTGTTTGGATAAGTATGAAAAATTGTATTCGTAATATAAAAATAATACTCCCTCCGTCCCACGACAAGTGACTTTCTTTTTTTTTGTCGGCCCCATAAAAAATGATATTTTTCTATTTTTAGTAAATTTAATTATTTTAAACATATTTAACAAGAGCATGGATCACGTGTTGATGTAGAAATTAATTTCAGCATTTACTGAATTAATCACAATAATTAATTAATTAAAATAATTAAATATATTATGATATTTTTTTTAATCAAGGTTAAGGATGAAATTTCAGTCTACTGATTTAAGAAATATAAATTAATTAAATTAAATTCATAATCTCTTATACATATGATCTACTCAAAACGCTTTTATTTATAGTTCTTTTCTCAATAAACAAATATTTTTATTTATATTTAAAACTTCTTATTTTTATAAAATCAGTTTTAAGTTAATTATAAATAAATAAATATTTTAGTTTATTTATATTTTATAAAATTTTATTTTTTACAAAATGATATTCATATTATATATATTTTATTGAGATATAATGCTAAAAATATTTAAAATATCAATAAAATACTCGTATAAAAAATAATAAAATAATATTATAATTTATTATTAATAATTTACTAATTTATACTACCTAAAATACCATTTTCCTAACTAAAAGGATCATCTTGACCGGGACGGATGGAGTATTTTTTGTATTAAATTATTGACATTTTGTTAGTGAATAAAATGTATATTATATATTGTATTAACGTGTGTATATTGTATTTTTTTATAATATTTACGATGAATCGTACCATCCGACACAGTAAGTGAACAAACTCATATTCTTATAATATTATTTAAAATTTTATAATAAAAAAAAGGAAGAAAAAGTTTTAGCTAATTGATTTGGTTGTTGTTTAAAAATGATTCGAAATGAGATGTTAATTCGATTTTTTGTATAAATAATATTTTTGATGTGGTGTTTTCTATAAGAACAAAATATTTTTATTAGAAATTATATAAATTGACTAATATTAATTTCAATTTAAAATTATAAAAGAACAAACTCTGTATTGTTTTCTTTTAAACTTCTGTATCTTCATCTAATCGTTTTACTTCCATCATCTTCGTCTTCTTCTTTCACTTGTCTTTTTATTGTTTTCAATTTAATTTTGTATGTATTTAAATTTTAATCTATATTAAAATTTTAATAAATTTTAAAGTTTAAGGTTTTTTTTTAGTTTTTTTCATGTTTTTGGGTCATTTTGGTGTTGGATTTGTATTTTAGAGTAGTTTATGTTAAGCGAGACTCGGTTCATTTGGGTTATCAAGTGATTTAAAATAAAATTAGATTGATCTGACTTTGATACGAGGAAAGAAAAAAAAAAAAAAAACTTATTGTTTTTGAAGATGAAGTTTCGAGTTGAAAATCGAATCTGAGAAATTGCAGATTTCTTGTAATACCCATAATTTAATCCAACACAAATACAATTCGAAAACACGACTTGAAAATATACGTTTAGTTTTAATATGTAAAAAGTATGATGAATATACATTGTTTGTAAACTTTTTAGACAAAAAAAAAATAATTAGCTTTTAGACAAAATCTTAATCTAAATTAGAAATTTAAGGTTTTTGTTTCTGAAAAGATATCCAATACTCTATAAATTAATAATTTAATATACTAATGAATTAATGGCCTCTTTACTTTGATATTTTTGTTTTTCAATTTCATTACTATTGCACAAAATATCACATTTAATTTACTATTTAAATTTAAAAAAAAAATTACTGAATAAACACACAAATATGTCTATAAACTAATCATTTAAAATTTCATAGTTTCAACTTTCAACACTAATAATCTATACAAATTCTAATGTATACACTTGTAAACTGTCGAAATAATTTCAATATAGATAGATTATAAATATATAGAAATGAGAACATAAGTGTAAACACACTACAAGAAAAAATCATTTTTGTAACAAAACGTTTTTGTCTCTAAATCTACTTTTTCCGTTACTAATAACATTAGAGACATAATTAAAAATGGAATTACGTTAGCTACGTGAACTTTAGGGACGAAATTTCGTTACAAATATATTATTTTTTTGTAGTGACAGTCTAAGGCCATCGAGGCCATCGTCGATAATAATGCACATTAATTTGATCCAATAATAATGTACTGATTATATAAATAGAATTTGTGTTCGAATTAATTGCAAGAATTGCACGATGAATGGAACATGCATGTCTTCCTCGTCTAAAATCTTTTAACATGATCAATTAATTAATGTAGTAAGAGCTTAGGATAGATTCTTTAATGGCTAAAAGTCTATTTCGAAGTTTTAATTAATTTGTTGAAATAATTAGACTTAGAAGCAAAAGCAATATTTGAGGGGAGCTTTCCCGGTCGATCTCATTCTCCTCGCCTTCTCCCTCACGGAAGCTTCTTCACGCCTACGTTTCTCCTCAGCCCTCTCTCTCGCCCCATCAGCTACATTACCAATCTTAGCTATCTTGCCGTAGTAATGCTTCAAATTTATCGATGTCCTCACCTCAATCTCCTCCTGCAATATCACTCGATCAATTTGTTTTGCACAACATAAAATTAATTGTATTCTCTTTTATTATTATCTCTAATTTCGACATTCCAATTTTTTCGGACTTTTCATTATTTACACAGAGTTTTCATCTTTTACCTTCTAAATATAATTTATAAAATCATTAGAAACAAAAATAATTGTCAAAATGGTTACAAATATATATATATATATATATCAAATTTATGCTACTTTAGAGATTGTGCCACAGATAAATGTGACAATAAAAATGGGTCGGAATGAATAGTTTGTATTCGCATATATAGAATGCATTTATAAATTTCATTTTATGAAATCTATTAGTAAAATAAAATGACTTTTATTGTCCTAATTTAAATTTTTAGTTGTAATTTAAAAAAATATATATATTTTTATATAGGAATAAATATTTATTAGTCCTATATGTAGCATCTTTGATTATTTTGTATTAAAACGGGTACAAAATAATATTATATCTAATTCATAATCGTTGAAAAATTCAAAATATTTTTACATATACTCATATGACACTAAGGTGAATTAGCGACATGACAATATTATCATATAAAAAATTTTTAAGGGATTGTGAATCAGATATAAAACTATCTGTCGGCAGATTTTAGTTGAAAAACCAAAATGATATAAGATACTAAGTTTGGAACTAAAATGTTTATCCCCTAAATTTTGAATTTAAATGCAATGGATGGATACACAAGGGGGACCTTTTTCCTTTTTATTCTTCGTGTTTCTTTCATTTTCTTGTGGTTTTCCCAAGCTTGAATTTCTCGTATGATGTTATCATACTGTTTTCGAATCTTCAATAATTGAGCTTCTTCCCAAGCATCGGAGCGGTCTCTTACATGCCTTTGGCCATCGGCCCCCGGTCTCAGAAAGGATGAGGATGATGGAGCACTTCTATCTTTTATCGATGATGGCAGCTTCCTTACCGAACCTAAATACCATCAACAAATTAATTGAGGACCACCATACGATTTTTGAATCACTCCAATAATTATTATAAAAATATGCACTTCAATACATCTGTTCTTCTAACATTATATTTCAATTGCGATGCTTAAAAAATAATAATAAAACACAAAATATTTTATACAAAAATCAAAAGATCAAAAAAAACTTTAAATACTTATTATAAAAAGATAAAAAGTCAATATTCAACTTAAAATGATATATTTTATATTTTTTACTCAAATTTACGTACTACACATCAAAAATTATTTCATCTAAAAATGTTGAGTGAACAGAGCATTTTGTAGTATTTTCAAAACAATATAACATAAATAAAATAAAATAAAAATCTATAAATAAATATAATACAAACTCGATAGACTCGTATAACAACCTAATAATCTAAATGATACAACTAAATGATAATAGAAATGTAATCTAAATAATAAATTAAATATCTAAAATATATTTAAAAATATCTCAAGTATATATCAAAATTTAATCATGTATTGAAAAAAAAAAAAGAAAAAAATCTTATTGTTACCTATTGGTAGTGGTGGGTGTTCAAAGGGCTCATGACATTTTTGGGTATGGGCCCTCTTGAGTTGAGGTAGCCGGGAAGTTTCTTGGTCGATGACATGAACGGCGTATGCAGAAGCAGCCATTGCAGCCGCCAAAGTGCTGTCGTCGGAATCATAAACGGGTCTCATCGAAACCAAATTAATTAATTAATTAAAGAAGGATTTTATATATATATATATTTATGGGTTGCAGTGAAGACAAGATAAGATTTTGAAATTATGCAAAGATGATGAGAGATTAAGAAATAAACGATGAAGGTGATGCAATTAGGGTTTTATTTTATATATGAATCCAACTTGTAAGAGTAAAAAGTAGTGAGAAAGCAAAGAATCTATGTAGCTTCCTTCCATCCATCATCATATACAGTTACGTTTGTCTCTCCACTCGCACAAGTCATCCGCATGCATATAATATATATATATATATATATGAATATGTCTGTTTGCTTTCTTAATTCCTTACGCCATCATCCTATTATATATATAATATAAACACTTATTAATTTGATAGTATCGTATTTATTGTCATATCTTCAATAAAAAAATATATTTATTTTTAATATATATTAAATAATTATTGTATCATATATTTTTGAAGAAAAAACATAAGGGGCTAAAAACACTACTAAATACATTGTACTCATCCTAAATATTTATATATATACACACAATAGATCACTTTTTTATACCCATCTATTTTTTTTTTTTTTTTGTTTGGGAGATTGGATTTTAAATTCACTATTCATTCCATTTTTTTCCCCTAAAAACATCAAATCAAATACCTATTTTTTATTTTTTATATTATATTAAAAATTAATTTTAAATTCAAAACATCGCATCAACAACTATTTATATCACATCATACAACTATTCAAATTCAAAATTTTTACTATTCAAATCACAACTCAAAATCCAAACCCCCAAACAAACACAAGGATTTTTAATTCGCATTTCTTGATTAATAAACAAACATGAGCGGAACTCAAACTCTTAACAAACAAAGCTCAAACATCAAATAAAAAAAATAAAAAAAATAAAAAATTGATTTATTACCCAAGCAATTAGTTTATTTTATGAAAATTTAATTAATCATAATAATTTATTAGTAAAGTTTATGTACAAATTTAAAATAAATTAGAATATATTTAGAAAATATATATTATATTTATGCTAGTTATTTTATTTAAGATATTTGTAGATTTTTTGTCTTATTTAGATGATTTGTACGTCATTATATATATATATATATATACGTACGAATTCTTATGATTGAAATTGAAAATTTTAATTTCGTATTCTAACATGGTATCAAATCTAAATTCTTTCTGGGTACATCCATGGCCCGTTATATCTCGTGTACATTTTTATATTTTATTGATGTATCTGTTTAGTTCTACTTTCGACTCTAACAGCGTTGGAAGTTCTATTTTCAACTCTAACTCTATTGAGAGCGAGTGAGTCCTACTTTCGGTTATAGCTCTATTAAGAGTGAACGAGTTATGTTTCGACTCTAGTTCTGTTGCGAGCGAGACATGTTTCCAAACTCTAGCGGTGTTGAGAGTTTTGCTTCTAACTCTGATCCAGTAGACGGCTACACCACTTTCGGTCAATATTGGCAAATTCAAGTTCGTTCATGGAAGATCTCAGCTACATCTTAAGTTTGAGGAGCGGTATTCAAATATATTTAGAAAATATATACTCCTTCCGTCGTCTAATTGTGTGCTTATTTGACCAAGCACGAATTTAAAAAAAAATAGGTAAAAATAAAAAATTTTACTTTTTTTGGGTAAAGAAAAAGTGGAAAAAGTACTATTTTGTTACTAAAAAATGAAACTAGAATAAATTTATATGACAATAAAAAAAAAAAAAAGAATAAATTTAGATGACGGAGAGAGTATTATATTTATGCAAGTTATCTTATTTAAAAGGTTTGTAAAATTCTTATCTTATTTAAATAATTTGTACATTATTATAAATATATACGAATTCTTATGAAATGAAAATTTTTAGTTTCATATTCCAAGAAAGTATAGTATCATACATATATATATATATATACATCTTTGAATTGACCGTATATGATTCTCATCCTATCAAGAGTAGAGTGTTAGTATTACAAAAATAAATTAAGTTTATTTTTTTTTATTATACATATGAAATGAAATGAAAAATCGTTTTTAAATATAAATATTTTCCATAAAAAATAGATATTGAATATCATAACTTTTTAAAATAATTAAAAGATTGAATAATATAAAAAATATATATACAAAATTAATGAGAAACAATGTTATAAATTTAATTTTCGGATGATAGATTTATCTAACAATACATCATTTAAAAAATACAAATTGAATTAGCAAAAATAATAAATAAATAAACCCAAAATAATATTAAGGGAAAGTCCAATCGGCTCCAAATTTGGAAAAGTACTCCAGTTTTGAAGCAAAAAATCTCCAACCGACAGCCATTTCATTCTCTAATTTTAGAGTATTTTAGCATTCCTCTATTTTTTGAGGAGATTTTTTTATTTACACTCTGGTCCTTGAAGTTTGGAGTTTTTATATTTTTGGTATTTTTAATTTATTTATTTTGGGATAACAAATGTCCCCCACAAAAATAATTTGATAAGTATTTTGTATTCCAAAATTAATTTTGTAAAAGCGTTTTCCAAGCAAACACACTTGTGCACGTCACGGTGAGCTCAAATTCTTTGTTTTTTTCTTCACTCCACCGTCATCTCACTTCTCAATCTATCATCAGAGCTTTCACAAGAAAAACGTCTTCTCTTATTCGAAATTGTCGCCCCCATATTTGCTCACATCTGAACCCTAAATCTTCCGAATCCCAATTTCCGATCTCTTTCTCTTGTGGTTGTCTTCGTAGTCCTTCCCTTCTGCAATGGCCGGCGCCAGCCCTTCAAGATCACGTGCCTCCGGGAATTTCTACAAGGCGTCGCTCCATCCGTCGGTCGAGGCGAAAGAATAGCCTCCTGCTACTCGATCCGAAAGTTCTCCGGTTGTCCCTCCTCCAACGGGCCTCACAAAGATCCGAGGACATTAGGCCCTACGCCCCTACTCCGAGGATGATGACTCATCTTCTGTCGTTCTGACCGAGGTTTTTGGTCGAGGTAACCTTTTTATTTCCCAGTCTTGGTCGAAATTTGTTTGTATTCTCTCTCGTTTGATGAGATTATTGAGTTCAGAAGATTTGAAATCTTTGGGTTTATAGGTTGATAAGCTAGACTGTGTTTACAGTGATATGTGGTCATCCTGGGGCATTAGGGATATGTTGTTACTGAGTAAAAAAATCCCTTCCAAAAGTAGTGATCTAGTGAAAGCCCCCTTTTAGGATTTTGGAGTCCGCATATTAACGTTTTTGTCTACCCTTTTGGCTTAATGACCCCTACAATTTTGGACGTTGCGGTTATCCGAGGCCTTCCTGTAAATGGGGTTGAGTCCCCCCTTTTCAACTTTCTATTTCGCGGAGTCTTTGGCATTGTCTTTGCCGTACAATAACAACAACTAAAGTTTTTTATTTCTTGCAAACCAATTGTCTTTCGGGAGTTTCCAGCCCAGGGGAAAACATTGCTTGCCGGTTTTTTTTGTTTAACAGATTTTTCGCATATTTTGCCTCGAGAGGTTTCCCTCGGGAAGTTGAGCTAACAGTTAATGCTATTGTTTCCGGTGCTCATCTCGATTTAGCATACTATTTCCTTAGTTTTTTGTATTGCGGCATCAATGATCTCCTTAAAAAAATTAACTACCTCATCTACCGGCGATGTCTAGGGTATCGAACCCTTATGGTCTTTAGAATTCTAGGCTCATTTGTATTTTCCTCGTTTAGCCAACTTCACTTTTGATACCTCCCGAGTCCCCGGCGGGTCTTTTCTCGGATTTGTGTTGTTTGTTCACTCACCTCTGAAAGGCATTGTACCGGAATTTGTATATATTGTTCTACACGAGATGCATCGTACCTCTGTTGATTTCTGCACACCACCTTTACAATGCTGCGGGCCATCCTGGTTCACTCTATCTTAAGGAGATGAGGATTCTTCTGCTGACATAGTGAATTTTCTGACCTATTGGGGAAAGTGCGTCTCGACCCGAGTGATCTCTAGTGGCCTAAGCTTGGGATCTTCTTTAGTTCGTTGGTGGGGGAATTGTATCAACCTCATTTTTGTGTGCGCCAATTTGGATTGATACAGGAGGTTCTGACTGTTGGCTTTCTCTTCCCTTTACCGCATGATTTGACGGAGGGCTATTGGGAAGGCTGAGACAATTGTGTGGCATTTTTACCCCTATAAGTCTAGTTCTCCTATTTTATTGTTCTTTTCGCTCGATCCCGAAATGAAGGCGGCTTACGATACTTGGTAGTGCACTATGCGAGAGGTAGTTGGCTTTGACATGGCACGACGTACTATTGCCGACCTATTGGGTGGTAGTCCCAAGAGTAGGATTACTTCTGACCCGACCTCCGCACATTCCAAAGTTCCCCTTTCAAGTATGCCTTAAACCTTTTCAGATTCTGTTGAGTTGTAATGTTCTGGCTTTCATGTGTATATTTTGTTCACAGTCCCTACACCGAAGACAAAGAACCCCCAGAAATAGACTGCGACGGCTGCACCGCCGAGCGTACGGAAATTTGCTCACATATCTATTCCGTTCGAGATCCCAAAATCTCAAATGGAAAATATAGGCATGAAGCATTCAGTTTCTCCGACGGCGTCAAGTCAAGTATTTCTCGTCTTACTACTTCGTGTTTGTTCCCTATCTTGTCCTAAAATTGCATGTCGTGGGAGGTCCCTTCGAAGAGGATTATTCCGTCTCCACTTTCTATGGTTATCACTTCTCATGTCGTACCTCAAACTACCCGATCTCTGACTCCAGTTACGAATTCTACCATTTCCGATGCTAGTGCGGATCGCAGGGTCCACACGAAGTCATCATCATCGCCCTCCGTACCCATAGCCATTCCGTCGGAGGTGGAAGAGTATTTTTCTCGGGGTTCGCCCACCCCTTCGCCTCGATCCCCACCGCAGAAGTCATCTGTGGCGTTAGGTAGAACTTTACTCGATAGGTACTTGTCATCTTTGTCAGACAGTCCAGGGGCTTTTGAATCGATGCAGCTAAAGATACTGGATGTGGTGGCAAACGAGGGCTCGGATTTGACTGAGAGGCGTCAGCTAGAGGCCTTAGCGGACAGACTAGGCGAAGTTGTTGACCCTC